CGCCATTTGTATGTACTCGAAACTACATGTTACAATAATAATTCCAAGAAACGTATTTGATTGGTTTAATATTTCATATACAGTAATTTGATCGTGTATCACAATTTCAATTACAATCATAATTGGTATATTTGTATATAAATATATTATTTTTGATATTCAATTTGTTACATTTGATTTTTATACTCGTCTACGACGTCCATATAAAAAATATAAAAAATTTAAAATAAAAAACTGGGTTCTATTATAAATACTAGTGTGTTCAAATTTTAAGATAAACAAATATATAAATAAACAGCTTATATATAGAAATAAATAAATAAATAAATGCTTAGCCTGAAGTATTATTATATATGTAATAAATAACAGGTTTCGAATTAAAAGTTCATCATTACGTATATACAAAGTCAATAAAATCGCGACCGAATAAAAAAAAATAAAGGGAGGAATATAATGAGAAAAATTGGTTATGTAACATAGAGATAATTTATTTTAATAGGAAAGATTATTTAAAATGAATTCTTATTAGACATTGAGAAAATTTAAAGAATATAAATACTTTGGTTATTATTATTTATTATTATCTAAATTGTATTTATATAATACCTATATTATTTTTAAAATCGTTTTGTACATTTAAAATATTATTTAAACTATTTTACTTTATGTCTTTGTGTATGTGTAACTTTTCTTGATGATACTTTTGTTTTATTACGTATACTAGAATGAGCAATGATACTTGATCATGAATTGATCACATATTTAGTAGAAATATTAACCTTATTCCTGCAATAATTTAAAACCAGTATAACAGACAATTACACAATTATAGGTAGTTTGAAAAACGTACACGTTAATAATAAACCCATAGATAATTACTCAAATACAATATTATATATTGATTACAATTAAAGCTAGTAAAATTGTTACCCTGTATCGAATGGACTGGATTATTTGAATCCAATAATACTAATACTGTATTAGATATTTTTAATAGAATTACCCTACACACTATCAATAATTGCATTGTATTTAAAACACAATTTTAAACGATCGAAATAGATTTACGATATATGTATGGCTGGATGAAAAAAAAAATCAATTATCACTTAATATAAATAAATGGGTCTGCATACCAATAATTACAACTCGTTCAGAGCTTCCTATTGAATACAGCTTTATAATATATAATTGTGGAACTGGTACAAAAAATGTCAGTTGTAAACCATTTATAATGGTTCTATCATTCTAATATTAAGAATAACAATATATTTTAATTTAAAATAGTCAGAACATATACAGTATTAAAAATAAAATAAGGAGCTTAACTGTTTTATTCTACAAATTTTGATTTCTTAATAAATCAACTTGAAGAAAAATATAAATGGCATTATGTAATTTAATACTACTATACGGTATAACATATTGGGGGGCTCTAATAAAACAGACATAAATACATTACATATAACCTAAACAATTATTATAAAAATAGCGTACTCCTAACCATTAAAATACCCATCAGAAGAATTATTCAGAAATACAAATATATTATCTATCTTTAAATTATACATTAGAAAAATATTAATAATATCCATACAAAACCACACACTAAAAGCTATAGAAATAATGGACAGAAAACAGGTAAATACATTAAACCGTCATATACGTTTTTAACAAATTCAAAAAACTTTTGTATTTACATTGTTGTAAAATATTATCAATTTATCACGGGTTGCTAGGAATTGTTTCGTCGATTGTCTTTTGTCGATTGTCGATACTCGATTGTCTTAGGCTGATCGCACACTAAAAGAGTAAAACTGCGTTAGACAATATTAATCATTTTCGTATTAGGCAACTAAAAACAATTTGTTTTTATAAAGTGTACACTACCTAGGAAAAACACTATTAGTAGTTAATTTTGATATCTTTGTTTCTTTTTTTCTTGTTTTTCTTATTTTTTTTTTTTTTAATGTTCAGTATATTTAATAAAAAGAAAAAGCCTGACAAGAAAATATAACCACCAACTAGGAACAACGAAGACTTTGCAGTGGATGATCCAAGTCCAATAAATAGTAAAATTAAAATTAATAATTCATCAATACCTGATGATCTTAACAATATTCAACAATATTCATTCTGAAATTGCATTAAATTACTCATTTCTGCTAGACTTAAGGAACTTGGAAACAAGACCAACTCAAATTAAACTAAACGTAAGTACTTGAAGTGGTCAAAGAACATAGATGTTTTTAAAACACCAAGGTTTATGTTCGATACACCGATGTTTAGTCTTTGATATATCGAAGAAAACATCGATGTTTCATTCGATGTTTACCGATGCTTTGAAATTTTTTATATTAATTTTTTCTTAAAACTATGTGTTACAATTTTACATCGCACCAAAAGTTGTCAGTTGTCACAAATGTTTGTATGTTTATTCAGTGCATTTTTTAACGTGTTAACTAGACGAAACAAATGTCGCCTAGTGACAATGTTTTGTCGCTTAGTTGAGTATTTTGAAAAATTGGGCAAAATTATTTCTGCAAATTTATTTTATTGTAGACCCAGATAATACCCATGCGGAGCCAGGGCGCGTCGCTAGTTAAATAAATAAAATAACTAATTCGTAATTTCATAGGTTATTTAAGTTATTTTTATTTTTTATATCTTATGAATTAAATTATATATAATTTTATATTAGTGTATTACCCATAATATTTATAACAGTAATTTCAAAAGAAACACCTTGGATTTACTGAGGGTTCTTCAACCCAAATAGGAAGTGAAAATGAACAGCATTAAACAACATAACTGTTGAAAACATAGTCAGAGAACAATAATCCACAATCGTTTGGACATGTACTTATAAATTATATTAAATTGACAAAAACAGATTCAACTTTATCACATGGAAGAAATAGTAAGCCAAAAAAATTGTTTCAACCATTTCCTAAGTTTATTTTCATTAATGCAGACTTCTCTTAACAATTTTTCGCATTGGATTTATAATTAAAATTAAAATAACTTATGTAGTTAAATTATTTGAACGCAATGTTAGTATAATTAGTTTTCTGTGCCATGCTTAATCTAAATTAAATCTGCATACCTTTATATTAACATCAGAGAAAACAATAATTGCTGATTGGTGTACAGCTAATTCAAAGTCTGCATGAAAGGTCTTCACATTAGAAATGCAAGAATTCATTGCAAAACAAATTTCTTTCAAAAATTCCCATATTTCGATGTAGATATTTTTGCTTTTGTAATTTAAAGAATATATATTATTGAAATATAGAATTTGTTTTTGAATCCTTGTATTGTGTATAACTGCAGAAAATATTTAGTACAATATTCAAATGTACCATCACCAAATATTTCCGTACAATTTTTTTTAAATATTAATAAATAAAAATTATATACCGAATATATATTTATTACATTAACTGACCATCAGTTTTTTAAGCAGATTTCAATAGTAAGAACAAATGTATTAATATTAATCGCAGTACCATGCTCGCATGATTGAAGCGTTAAATTCTTAGGTCTATATTGATTCGTAGCAGACTGTATTCTTGGTTCCCCTCTCCAACATAACCAACGGAAAAAAAATTATTTACAGATATCCGTGAATTAATCGTAAAAAAATATTCGTGTATAAAATTTATTGCTAAGTTAATCAGTTAACCTAACCACACAAAAACAATATCAAAATATATTATCAATATATTAATATTTATTAATAATAATAAATTAATAAAAAAAGATAGTTATATTTATATTAATAGTGAAGTTGAAAATAATGAGAAATTCTTTTTAAAAAGTTACCTTACTTTAATTTAATAGTTATAGTCATCAAATTATCGAAAAATTGTTCAGTTTATAATAAATATACTCGTAAATATTAAATGTCCACTAAATATTCAACATTGATGGAAAAATCTAAAATTTTAAAAATATGAATGAATATGATTTATGAATTAAATTGCTTAAAAAAAGCTTTTATTTGGCAAACAATTAACCAGATGACTAATTTTAGCCCCAAATAATTCATCAGCGATCAATTGTTCGCGACTTATTCATAAAATATCATTATTTACAAAACCATAAATATATGCACGATGTATATGATCAGCTCATACAATTTTAAATACATTTACTCATAAATCCGTTCACTGTCCAATTTAGTCGTCGATATATACTACTCAATGGATTCACTCAATCGCAATATAAAATATATTCATACATAAATGCATATAGATAATCGAGGTTTGTATAAAATCTCGACCACTATTGTTATAACTGTTCTGTCTGCACGTCACGTTTTGAATCCTTGTCGTATTTGTTGATATATATATTTGCTGAAGGATCCTCAATAAGTTTGTGACGATCGACCGTCATCGTCCATTCGGTTAAAATTATCATAAGTGTCCGTCGTCGTTAATACTATTATTACTACAACTCATGCAGATTTACGTGGTGTGTTTACAAATCAAATACATATTTAATAGATCAAACATTTTCAGAGTACAATAAATGTCCGCTAAATTATAACGCTTCTATTTAGTATTGACCTACGTAAGCATTTGTTTAAACTATTTCGTTTTATTTCAAAAAGGACACGTCATTTTTGTAATATATCATTTTAACACGACTCTAAATAAATCGAAAACAATATAATTTTAATTTATTATTATGAATGTTCTACATAATTAAGAAAAGTATTAATTTTCTAAGATAGTAAATAATAAGTAATATATTATAAAATATAAAAGACAAAAATCATCAAATAATAGTTGTTTTATCATATTTAATATTTATTAACGTCTCACGTTTTATTATTATTATTTTTATTTTTTTTTTGTAACAATGTTTTTATACATGTACTCGTATAAACTTAAATTAAAATTCGTTTTTCTAAAAACAATTTATTTATTATTTAAAATAAAAAATTATTACAATCATTTAAATAACTCACATTAAAACTAAAGTAATGGCAATTTTGTTTTTACAATGTTTAATTGAGAATAAAATATATTACATAGATATAGACACATAGTACATGAAAAATATAATCTACTTAATGATATTAGTACAAACTTCTACTTCAACGGCGAAATAGTTATTTTTTCTGAAAAATACATCCATGTTCTTTTTTTCTCAATCTGTCGGGCAACGTATTTAATATCTTTATCGTCTGTTTGATTGCACGATAAAATGCCAAGTGTCCAAATCACAGCCAATAAAAGTCTATCAAAACTTAAATAATAAAATATTCAAATTCAAATAAAATGTTATGATTTTAATAAGACTTACCTCATTACTTTTTGAGCCCACAAAATAATTATGATACACGAAGATCCTGGTAATCCTATATTTAACAAAAATGTATCGAATTGTTGGGATTTAAATGAACATCGACTACCGCTTGTTATATTATAGTATAAAATCTATTTGAAATTAACAAATAAATAAAAATACAATTATTAAAAAAAAATTTGCGAAAAAATATAATAATAACGAATGTACGTAGTTTTGTCAATAATATTAAATCATAACGAATTAATTATTTTTTATGCATATAAAAATGTATCGAAAACTATAATAATTTTTGTTTGCTTATGTTAAGTTCTAATGTCTTTAATTAAAAACCGATCATAGTTTCATTTTTATCAATAAATAGATATTAAGATAGTACAAAATTTAACATTATGCTAAATAATTAAAAAAACTGAAAATAATTATAAATTAAAATTATTAAAAACAATAATATAACAATATTATGAACATTTTGAGTCCTTTGTCTATAAAAACACCATTTTTATTATTGAAAATATATTTTTAATTTATGCTATGTTCACATATGCAAACTTTATTTATTAAAAAACAAAATTTAATAAACTAACAGAAAAAGCATCTTCTGATTAAATCCTATAAACTGTTATGGGTATTATTGTTAACAAGCTGTATATTATGAGATACAGCCCATTTGAACCCCGAGAGATGTGGACGGTTGCGCCCAAAATATAAGGTACAACCTGTCGATTTATAGTCCATATGTGCTAATTTTGCATACAATGTTGCCATTTAATATTATGATTATAATTATAATATCCTCAAAAATCTCCACCCGATCAACCACCGCTGGCAATATTACTTCTGCAATGTCTGGGTTTGGGTCTGGGTCTAACCTCTGGCAAGTCTTCTAAATCAGCCTCGTCTACTTCCAATCTGCTGACCCTTGATGTTTTTAACAACACTATGGCTAAACATCAAAAAACACAAAAATAAACCCTGGCCCAGTGTAAACGGTTGTGTGAATCTCAAAATGCTCAATTTTCTGAACTCAATGAAAGCTTAGGTCATCTGTCCTCACAGGTTGTTGAATTAAAATCTGAGAACGACAAACTTCAAAAAATCATCTCTAGTCTCAGCAAACGAGTCCAAGACCTTGAATCTTCAAACAGTAGTTGTCGTACCTCCTTGGCTGATACTATTCCTAGCATTTTCCAAAAGATCACTGAACGTAAACGTTCTTCTCGAAACGTCATTATTCGTGGTGCTCAAGAATCTTCATCTTCTATATTAGAAGATAGAGTCTCTAATGACGTTCAAAAAATAACTGAGACTATCAAACCGTACTTTCCCGAACTACCATCTGACTTCAAAGTAATAAGGCTAGGTTAACCCAGTGATCGAGGTCCCCGACCACTCAAGGTTTTCTTCCAATCTAAAGAAATAGCCCAGAAACTTGTCTCTGTCTATAATACAAATATTATATCTACTCATACTGACAATATGCGCCATTTCATCTCGGTTACTCGTGATCGCACTCCGAGTGAGCGTGAAGTAATTCGTTTTGTATACGCTGATTTGGAAAATCGCAAAAAGAACGGTGAATCTGACCTGGTAATCAAATACACAGATGGATTCCCTTATATTATACCGGCCCGCAGATTATCCCAGGACTGACGCCATCAAGCATCGAACTCTGCCCTTAATCAAAAAACTAACAGTACTCGACTTGTGGCTGACTAGGCAAGCACTCCCTAGCCTAAAAAAAACTAGGAAAAATGACTCATGCTACTACTCCTACTTAACTGATCCACTTTGCAATTGTATGTCTAACATTAAACTTCGTTCTTCAAACTGCTCACGCTGCTACACTGCTGAACTAACTTTAGATTCTTTCTTACAAGTCTTAACTAGCTTTAAAGCCTCATTTTGTAAACCTATTAATTTTTCTAATATTTGTAATTTATGGCGTCGGGAAAGTGGCGTCCCCATCACTCAGGGCACTTTTGTTCAGTGCTCTGCAGTAGCCCTCCCCTGACCTTATTTGGTTGGGGTAGTTTGGCCCTCCAGGTTGGGGGTTAAGCGACGGGCCGACGACCCGTTCTTGTAAAAAAAATACTGTTAAGAAACCAAAAACCACTAAACCTTGGAAATCGATTGATAATTTGGATAACAGATTTGGAAATTGGACTGGAAATGTTGGTATTCTAAGATTTGAAACATAGAATATCAGGACTCTATATAAACCAGGTTCTTTACAATGCATAATAAAGGAAATTAGTCGTTGCAATGTTGATATAGTGGGATTGCAGGAGATTAGATGGCCAGGATCGGGCAATCTTAAATCAGAAAATATGACAGTGTTCTTTAGTGGAAAGAGCAATGGAAAACACAAGAATGGGGTTGGTTTTATAATTAAGGCATCCGTGTCGAAATTAGGTAAAGAAATTTGAACCGATCAACGACCGAATATGCTACATGGTATCGACTGGGAAAACATTTGATACAGTGTTCGTCAATTGTTATGCCCCTACGGAAACAGCAGATTGTGAACTAAAGAATCAATTTTATGATGACCTTGAGAGAGTACTTGACAATATCCCTAGAGAAAGAATAAAAATAATTGTAGAATATTTTAATGCTCAAGTAGGGCAGGAGAATATTTTCGAACCAATTGTGGGCAAAGAAAATTTACACCAAGAAAGCAACAATAATGGTATGAGATTAATTAGTCTTTGCACAGATAAAGGTATGGTAATAAGCAGTACGCAGTTCCGACGAAGAGATATATATAAACATACTTGGATAGCTCCAGATAGCCAATATAAAAGTCAGATAGATCATGTAGTGATTGATAAAAGATTTAAATCTAGTTTAAATTCTGTAAGAAGCTATAGAGGAGCGGATGGCAACACTGACCACTACCTGGTTATTAATTCTTTAAAAGTGAAACTGTCAAGACAATGGAATATGAACCAGAAAGGAATAAAGAAAAATGCCCGATTAGATATGGATAAAATAAAAAACCAAGAAGAAATAACTGCCTACCATAATAATCTTAACAATATCCTTGAGTTAAACAAACTGGATACGGAACCTGGTAGTGAAAAAGGGTAGAATATCATCAAGGAAGCTGTTAATAAGGCGGCTTCTTTGTTTAAAAAAAAAAAAAAAAACAAACTAGAGAGAAGCCATGATTTAATGATGAATGTAGAGACGTTACAGAAAAGCGAAGTAAAGCTAGACAAGAAATTATTCAGGATCCAACGCCTGAGAATGTGGAAAGATATCAGGAACTCAGAAAAATAGCAAGTAAGAAAATAAGAAACGTAAAGAGAGATTATGAAAAACAAAAAATAAGAAACATAGAAGAATACAGAAGGAATCCACTGCTATTTTTCGGTATATGCAGATCTTTCAAAGAGGGTTTTAAAACTAAAACCTGCATAGTTAAAGATGCTCATGGCTGCCTGATTACAGAGGAAACAAATATAGTTGAAGAATTCTGGAATTATTTCAAAGAATTACTGAGTACAACTGACGAGGATGTCCACCCAGAGGAATATCAAGAACATACCACTAACTACTCGGTACATCCAGAATTACCAGAACCAGAATATGAAGAAATTACACAGATAATTAAATTTCTAAAAAACAATAAGGCACCGGGGGAGGACAATATCAATGCGGAATTAATTAAAACAGCTAACCCAAAATTAATATCAATGATTTGGCTATTGATCAAAGAAATATGGGTTAGTGGAAAAGTCCCGAACAGCTGGAAAACAGCGATCATTTGCCCGATATATAAAAAAGGAGACCCGATGGAAACATCAAACTATAGAGGAATCTCATTTTTAGACACCTGCTATAAAGTTCTGTCGATAGCAATCCTGCGAAGGCTGGAAGTCTATGCTAAGGACATAATTGGAAACTACCAAAGCGGTTTTATGAGAGGGAAATCTACAACATACCCCATTTTTAGTATCAAACAAGTGTTAGAAAAGTACTATGAAGTATGGTAGAGGAGTGCATCTTTGCTTCGTGGACTTCAAACAGGCGTACGATAGTATTATAAGGAGAAAACTATGGACAGCACTGGAGGAATTTGATATACCAACCAAACTAATCCAGCTGATAAAAGAGTGCAATACCGAAACAAAATGTAGAGTAAAATTTGCAAATATACTGTCAGAAAGCTTTGAAGTTAGGGCTGGTTTAAGACAGGGAGACGCACTTTCCCCAGTACTTTTCAATTTGGCTTTAGAAAAAGTAATTAGATCTCTCCCTGCAAGATAAAATATGGAAATTCTAGAACAGAACACTATCTTAGCATACGCAGACGACATTGTAATAATTGGTAACTCTCGAATTGATGTGGAAATAAGGGCTGCAAACCTAATCAAAACAGCGGAACCGATTGGATTAAAAGTCAATCAAGAAAAGACCAAATACCTAGTAGTATCAAGAGTAGAGAGAGCTTTGGATAATATGCTTGTGGATGGATATATCTTTCAACGAGTAACAAATTTCAAGTATCTAGGAACTAATATAAACAACCGTAACAATATGCACAACGAGATCAAATTGAGAATTGCATCAGGGAACAAGGGCTATTATGCACTTGCGAAATTGTTTAAATCGAAACTTTTGTCCAGGAAGTCAAAAGAATATTTATATTCCAGTTTTTTACGACCTGTCTTGACGTATGGCTGTGAAACCTGGTCGGTAACTAAGGGAGATGAAGAAAAGTTAAACATATTTGAAAGAAAAGTACTACGTCGAATCTATGGCCTTGTAATTGAGAATGGTGAATATAGAAGAACTAACCAATAATTGTACCAAATGTTCAATAAACCTATTATAAGTTCGTATCTAAAAAGTAAAAGGTTAGAATGGGCGGGCCATATTTGGAGATCGGAAGGTATTGCAAAAAATCTTTTCACTGGAAGACTATGCGGTAAAAGACCTAGGGGTCAACCAAGACAAAGATGGGAGGACAGAGTGAAAACGGATCTCACGGAAATCTCAGAAGAATTAATAAGGATTGAAGATAGCGAAGACAGAGATAGCTGGAAAGATGTGGTTGAGGCAGCGATGGTCCTAAATGGACTGTAAAAGCTTGAAGATATTTTTTTTTTTTAGCTTTTATAGC